AAAAAAAAAAAAAAAAAAAAAGTGCTCTATCTTCATTCATATCGAGTAAAGTCAAGGGAGAAACTCTTAAAAACGGCAGCACCTTCCTGTCTTCCCACTCAGGTTGCTGCTGTAGCAGAGTGTGGCCTTGATTTCCAGCTTTGCAGCAGACAGTCTCATGGTGAGACCCTGCCTGGCATTGATTCAGAGACAACAAAGCTCCCAAGGTGCCAGTGAAGGAACCAGGGGCGTAAACACAGCCCGTGAACTGCAAGGTAGAAGACGGGTCCAGCCAGCCGCTGCTGAGTCCTCAGGGCATATGGCATCTGAGCACATCTCCAAACCACCCAAGTGGCACCCCAGGGCGACATTTACATCATCTTGATACAATTCTCTCAAGGGAAAAACAAGTCTGGCAGCTTTTGCCACGGCAATGCTGGCTTGGAGCCTCACGGGAGAGGCCCTAAGAATATCATTTTCTCGCTCTAAGTTGCTCTTATGGGAGAGAAGTAATGACATTCTTCCTAAATGTCAACATCTGTGCATCCTTCCCACCATGTGTCACTGGGGCCGTCCCATGATTTCAGAATGCTGAGCAGTGTCCTGGCTTCAACCCACCAGATTTCAGGAGCACCCCAATTTCTGGCATTGGGTGACTGACTTGACCTTCACTGTCATATATGATTCTTTTTATGTGTCTTTAAAAAACCCTAGAAGAAAATCTAGGCAAAACTATTCAGGACATAGGCGTAGGCAAGGACTTCATGACGAAAACACCAAAAGCATTGGCAACAAAAGCCAAAATAGATAAATGGGACCTAATCAAACTCCACAGCTTCTGCACAGCAAAAGAAACAGTCATTTGAGTGAATTGGCAACCAACAGAATGGGAAAAAAATTTTGCAGTCTACCCATCTGACAAACGGCTAATATCCAGAATCTACAAAGAACTTAAACAGATTTACAAGAAAAAAAAAAAACAAGCCCATTCAAAAGTGGGCGAAGGATATGAACAGACACTTTACAAAAGAAGACATCCATGAGGCTAACAAACATATGAAGAAATGCTCATCATCACTGGTCATTAGAGAAATGCAAATCAAAACCACAGTGAGATACTATCTCACACCAGTTAGAATGGCGATCATTAAAAAATCTGGAGACATCAGATGCTGGAGAGGATGTGGAGAAATAGGAACACTTTTACACTGTTGGTGGGAGTGTAAATTAGTTCAACCATTGTGGAAGACAGTGTGGCGATTCTTCAAGGACCTAGAAATAGAAATTCCATTTGACCCAGCAATTCCATTACTGGGTATATATCCAAAGGATTATAAATTGTTCTACTGTAAGGACACATGCACACGAATGTTCATTGCAGCACTGTTCACAATAGCAAAGACCTGGAACCAACTCAAATGCCCATCGATGATAGACTGGACAGGGAAAATGTGGCACTTATACACCATGGAATATTATGCAGACATCAAAAACGAGTTTGTGTCCTTTGTAGGGACATGGATGAACCTGGAAACCATCATTCTCAGCAAACTGACAAGAACAGAAAATCAAACACCGAATGTTCTCACTCATAGGCGGGTGTTGAACAATGAGAACACATGGACACAGGGAGGGGACCATCACACACTGGGCACACTGGGGTCTGTCGGGGGAAATAGGGGAGGGACAGTGGGGGGTGGAGAGTTGGGGAGAGAGAGCGTGAGGGAGAAATGCCAGATATAGGTGATGGGGAGGAAGGCAGCAAATCACACTGCCATGTATGTACCTATGCAACAATCTTACATGTTCTTCACATGTACCCCAAAACTTAAAATGCAATTAAAAAAAAAAAAAAAGGACCCAGTGGGGCTGGGCACAGTGGCTCACACCTGTAATCCCAGCACTTTGGG